ATGTTTTTAGATTCTCTTCACAGAGTAAGAAATGTGGCCCTTACCCTTCTCAAATGGGAGATTCCTGAAAGACAGCAGCAGTTCTCAAGGAAGACATAGGGATCTGGGCTGAGAGAAGCTGCCCGAGGGATGACATCTCTCATGGCTTGAGAGCACCACCCTCCCGAGAGTCCTCACTTTTTCAACTTAAATACTTTTGCAGCCCAGGAGTCCTTAGCCCTGTGCCAAAACATTAGATGTAGGGAAACAGGCAGGATCCTTATTGTTAGGGATATGTTGCCTTTGAACAAAATGACATAAATGTGGAACCAGATGTGTACAGGGGTATTAGTTTAACTTGGACATAAGTAGCCAAATCTCTGCTTTTCTTTGGCTCTCGGTGGTAAGAGTAAAGGAATTGGGGCAAAGTATTCAAAGTTGGATTTTTTCTTGTCTTTGTTTTCATATTTGGTCATTGTTTTTCCTTGGTAGAACACTGGTGAGTTGCTAGTGGGTTTATTTCCTTGATGCTACTCTAGATTCACCTATTTCTGACTTCGGCAATAATTCCAGTGCCAATCACCAGGTTTCTATATTTATCAGCAGCTGCTTCAGTGATGTGGAAACAATTTTCTCAACAGCTGAAAAACATGAAGCTAGAGAGGAGGACATTTTGTTCTTTATTAGAGCTTAGTTGGAGTGAGCGTGGAAGGAGTGAGCCACCCGGCACAGATTTCTCATCTTTGCATCTTTTCCACTTTCCCCAGTGTGATGTCAGGCTCCAGTGAAGACTGTGGCTTTGTTCAGAGAGGAGAGGGTGGCCTCTGTGCAATCCCCCAGAACACTCTGGGTCAGAGTACTGATATGGGCTGGTGTCCTCTTATCTGGAAGGCAGGCTTTGTTGATTTGTATCTTAAGGTTTGGGATGAAGAAGCTTTTACTCCAGCCTCTACTTTCAGCCCGACTTTACCAGCTGGCTGGCTTTGAGCTTTCAGCATTCAGGGAACGTTGCTCTGTAAAGCATTTATCAAAGTCAGTTACAGAATGCCGGCCCTCCGTGAGGCACTGTCCAGGGCACGGAGGGGCTGGGTAATGGAGACCCCACTGGGAGGGTCAGAGGGCTTTGACTGCACGGATCATGAATGGTCATAGCAGTCTTTGTTGTTCTCAAATTGTGCCTTCAGTTCTTTCATAGCTCTGGGATACCTGAGCACTGAGATGCTTGTAAAGAGTCAAGAAACCCGGTTCGCTGTCCTAGCTCTGCCCCTAACCAGGGAAGATGGAAGCCTATTGAGCGGCTAACACTTTCCAAGCATTGTAAGCGTGGTACAATGCTTTACAATGCATGATCTTTCTTCCACATAACAACCAAAAAAAGTGGCCATTACTGGAGCGGCACCTGTGGCTCAAAGGAGTAGGGCACCGGCCCCATATGCTGGAGGTGGCGGGTTCAAACCCAGCCCTGACCAAAAACTGCAAAAAAAAAAAAAAAGAAAAGAAAAGTGGCCATTACTGTCTGCTTTTCACAGAAGAGATGATGAGGGTTCAGACAGAGTAACTTGCCCAAGTCTTCCTGACATCAAAGCCCGTGCTCTTACCTCCCCCACACCATCCATCTCCCCAGACCTCACTGCTGGGGTGAGGGGAATTTTCTCAACACCTCTGTCAACCTCCAACACCTTTGTCAACCTCCCTGAGCCCAACAGTCTTCTCTAAAGTGTGTTTTCTGCCTTAAAAAAGTTCTTACCCAGCATCTTCTTTATTATTTAAATATTTGCTGCCACCTAGTGGGAATTCTATAATCAGAAGAATAAAGAAAATTTTCAGTTCAACTTGGATTAAAAACTGTCCATTTCATCCTATGAAAGGTAAGTCTATGCAGACAGTAAAAAAGAAAAGATCAGTGGTTTTCAGGGGTTGGATGGAGGGAGGTAAGACTAGGCAGGGTGAAGAGGATTTTGAGGGCAGTGTCACTACTCTGTGGTACTATAATAGACTACACAGTTGTTTGTATTTAGACATGTCCAACACCAAGGCTCGAGCCCTAATGTAAACCATGGACTCAGCTGCGGCTCACGTGTCAATGTAGGTGTGTTCATCAACTGTAGCAAAAGTACCACTGCTGGGCGACGCTGATGATGGGGGGGGCTGTGCGTGTGGGGACAGGGGTATGCGGGAAATCTCTGTACCTTCTGTTCAGTTTTGCTGTGAACCTACTACTGCTCTAAAAATAGTCTGTTTGAAAAATAATCTGTCAATTTTCTTAAGTCTATACTTCGTTCCTGCCTCTTAAAATTATATTTTTAAACAAACATCATGGCCTTTCAGTTGTATCTCTATAGTAAACTAGCAGATGTGAGATTCCTCTTATAAAATTTTTGGTGAGATATTGGAACGCATGGAAACCCCAGATTTTTTTTTTAAATAGCACACCTCTTGGGTACAGGACACAACTACAAGAGGGACTCGACCTAACAAATGCAAACATCATAACCGAGTCATTTGTGCCCTCACATTAATCTGAAATAAAACAATTTAAAAACAAAGGAATGTATATAAACCATAGATTTTTTTTTGAAAAATGCTTGAAATGTTGTGACCATCCACTATACGCTCAGATGTATATTAGATGGCGAGCTATAGCCTAAGAAATTCTAATCAGCAATATTCAGACTTTATATTTTTTTAAATATTTTTTAGCTTTATCAATACTTACTCAACTGAATTTCTTTTTTTTTTTTTTTTTTGAGACAGAGCCTCAAGCTGTCCCCCTGGGTAGAGTGCCGTGGCATTACAGCTCACAGCAACCTCCAACTCCTGGGCTCAAGCGAGTCTCCTGCCTCCACCTCCCAAGTAGCTGGGATCACAGGCGCCCGCCACAGCGCCCGGCTATCTTTTGGTTGCAGCCGTCATTGTTGTTTGGCGGGTCCGGGCTGGGGATTTGAACCCGCCACCTTAGGTGTATGTGGCTGGCGCCTTAGCCGGTTGAGCTATAGGCGCCGAGCCCAACTGAATTTCTAAAAAAGTCTCCTGGTCTAAAAAATGCAAACCATACAGAGAACGTGAAGTAAGAAGTAAAATCCTCCTCCACAGAGGGAAGTTTGTTAAGAATTTTTTATTTTTTTCCCCAGAAATATTCTATTCTGGGACTAGAACACACACATACCATTTTCTTCGCTACTTTTCTGTGAATGAGCTTATGCCATGCATACTGTTGTACAGCCTTTTTTTTTTTTTTTAGCTCGGTCTATTTTGGACATCTTTCCACGTCAGCACACAAACCTACCTCATCCTTTTTACTAGCGCCTAGTGTTCCATGACTGACTATACCATAATTCAGCCCCTTGTTGATACCCTTCTAGGCTGTCTTCAGGTTTTCATTGTTAGAAAAATGCTATAGGGTACACACATACTCATCTGCAAAATATCTTTGTTGAATAAAATCTTAAGCATGAAATTGCTGGTTCTCTAAGTATGTTAACATCGCAGCTCAAGATGATCAAAAACACACCTGGAGTATAAAAAAATTAAAAAAGTCAAGTGTACTTAACTAGCTGCTTTGGGGAAGAAATTTGGAGGAGATTTTGTAGGATATGGGGTTTGTGCTGGGTAATTTCAGGAACACTCAGGGGAGCAAACATAGTTCTAGGTTAAATGTCAGAAAGCAGGAGTGGCTGGGCATGGTGGCTCATGCCTGTAATTCCAGCATTTTGTGGGGGGGCCAAGGTAGGAGGATTGCTTGAGGTCAGGAGTTCAAGACCAGCCTGGGCAACACAATGAGATCTCATTCTATAAAACACAAAAAAGCAGGAGCAGGTTAGTTTGGGGGGTCTTTTAAGTTTTTCTAGGAAGAGAAAGAATGAAAGTTGGGCTAGAACTAGTGTCCTTAGTCAAGACGGACAGTCACAGATGTGGTCAGAAGAGGGAGGTGTTTTATCATTTTGTGCGCTGAGTGGCCTTGTCTCATTTCAAACCTGCCAACTGAGGGCCTTGCCTGGACGGTGCTTAACTCTGTGAGTGTTTTATATGATGAAATGGGGACATGGGGGCCGACCTGCCAGCAGCGATTGCTTTCATTTTCTCATGTACATTGATTTTGAATGTTTATAGTTGTTGAAGTTGTTTTGCCAAAAGTAGCACCAATTTACATTCTTCTGGGTTCTTTTAAATACTCAACTTCCTTAACACAATGAAGTAGCTGATAATCAGAGTAATAATGGCGCTTATCATAATAGCAAGTGTTTACAGTGTCACTTCTGATCTGCCATCCACTGTGCCAAATCCATTATTTCACTGACTTCTCATCAGAGGTTTGAGACAGGTGCTAATAATGTTTGTACTTTTCTATGAGAAACCAAAGTTTAGAAAAGGAGCACTTTGCTGCGGTCCCATAGCTAACCGAGAACAAACTGATCGAGTCCAGACCTACATCCTTTCCTGTGAAGAAACACTTTCACCTTTATCTTCTTTTCAGGAGCCTGCCAAGGAGAATTACAGCTAAGGAATAAGAGCCATTTAATAGATGGCCACAAATCTTTGAGAGGCTGGTTTAAGTTGATAAGGAAGTGGAGTCCCATTTATAGAAATGAGATTTAAGGAAAATGTTCCGGGAGTCACATGCATAGCATTAAGGAGGCATCCAGCCTGCGGCGCTTAGCTGTACATGTGCCCTCAATTAATAAAAGCCTGTGCTCACTTTCTTAAAGTCTCAGCCAAGACACTGTGATTACATAGTCTCTGGGCCTCCTGGAGTTCAGCGGGTACTTAAGTAACCCCCACGGAACTAAACAGGTGAAGGACACCTGTCCTTTAGATCCACTGGGGTTCACGAAGCTTTCATGCTATGTGAGGACAAGCCTCTGAGACTTCACTGTAATGATCTTATGGAAGGAGAGAAATTGGAACAGGCAGGTGCTTACACGAATGTGGCTTGTGTGATGGGCGCACGGCGGGGTTGGGCTGGCTGTGTGCTGTGTGAGCAGAATAAATGTGCTGTAACTGCTGGCTTGGTTGTCTTCCAGACTGTGCTGGCTGTGGAAGAGACATCAAGAACGGACAGGCACTGCTGGCACTGGACAAGCAGTGGCACTTGGGGTGCTTTAAATGCAAGTCCTGCGGAAAGGTCCTCACCGGGGAGTACATCAGCAAGTAAGATGGGGCCAGAGGCACGAGGATCCTTCAAGCGGGTGTGGGGCTGTCTGTAGGTCCTGCTATTAGGCAGGGACTCACCACCCCATCAAATGTTCTGAAATACATTCACATTCTGCAATCACTGTGAACTATTGGCCATAAAACCTTTGAAAAGAATTTTATGCTCCTTTTGCCATAGCTTGGCTGCTATACATTGAATGAGTTATTAATCATTGCCAGCTAATGAAGCTGTCAGGGTTACACTCTATGTTGTGGCCAATTAAGTGTTTCATGATTTCCCTTTTGTTGTTTATTTTGCTGATGTGGAACTAGTAAGCCTTTTTCCTCCTTCGAGGGCTCACGCATATTTGCAGATGCCCCCACCCAAAAGAACACACAAGGCTTAGGCAGTGCAGCCTGCCAGGGAGTGGATCCATGTTCAAAACCAAGGAATAATAGCAGAGTTAAGGAAGTAAGTGAAATTAAAGACCAAAATACTGTATACCTTTTTATGCCTTAAAAAAGTTTCTCCAACTTCATGAAATAAAAAAAAGCTAATGAATTTAATTTAGACAAATTAAAAACTCGTGAATTTAATTTAAACATACAGTGAAACAAACAAAAAAAACAAATGTAATTCCATAGGTGCAGCAAAAGAAATGTAATTCCATAGGTGCAGGATAGAGCCGAAACACCTATATTAGAACAAGGCATCCTCAGACGGGGGTGATGGACAGGACAGCTACAGGAGGAAGAGAAGTGGTCTGCTTTTAAACAGACACTGAGAGTTGTGCCTCAGCAGCCAACTTGGCTGTCTAGAGTGGTGCTTTGTACATTTTCCATGCAATAACATACAGAAAATGACATACTATGTTCTGAGGTAAACAGAGGAGGTTGCCGGAGTGGAGGGGAAGGCCCTGGGCCACCAAGGTCTCCTGAGAGCTGAGGAGATGGGGTCTCAAGGCTCTTGGGAGGCTCTGGCCCAGCATGCGGCCACTCAAGGGTAGCTGAGCACTGGCCCTCATCTGAAGGTGATCTGGGCGGGTGGAGAAATGGAGTGATGGTGGGTTTGCCTGAGTTAGTTCTGAGACAGTCAAAGTGCCAGCCTTTTGACAATCAAGGTCAGAAGAGGGGTGTTTTATCATTTTGTGGACTGGGTGGCCTTGTCTCTTGTTTCAAGCCTGGCCACTGAGGGGCCTTGCCTGAAGTGCTTTATTCTGTGAGTATTTTCTGTGATCGGCTGGAGACATTGTGGCCCACCTGCCAGCAGCGTTTGCTTTCATTTTCTTGGTTATATTGTTAAATTTGGTTTCCAAAAAGCCTACACCAATTTTACTTTTTTTTTTTTTTTTTTGAGACAGAGTCTCACTTTGTTGTGGTCCCATAGATAGCCAAGAATGAGTTGATTAGGGCCAGACCCACACTCTTTCCCATGAAGAAATACTTTCTCCTTTATCTTCTTTTCAGGAGCCTGCCAAGGTGCCAGCCTTGACTGTCTCAGGGTAACTCGCCAGGGTAATCTGGCGATTTGGCCATCCTTTCCGTGTGGCCAGAGAGCTGCAGCACTCTCTCCAGCTCCTTCTGCCTATGCAGAAGGTAGTCATGTCTGACCAGTCTGCCAGGTGTGTGCCCGCCGGGCCGGGAGAAGTAGGTCCCACCACCGTCTGTGGAAAGCGCTCAGAGTGGCTGGGTGTCTGCTCCAGCCCTTGGCTGCCTGCCCAGGAGCTGACCTCACCTTGTCTTGCAGGGACGGCGCCCCGTACTGTGAAAAGGACTACCAGGGGCTCTTCGGGGTGAAGTGCGAAGCCTGTCAGCAGTTTATCACAGGGAAGGTCCTGGAGGTAAGTGGCAGACGGGCACCCACAGCCACCAGCATTGCTCACAGGCCCTCAGAAACACAAGCAAGAACCTCTTTTCCATTTTCACCATTCTTTTTTAACATCTAGAGGAAAGAAAGTAGCTGCAGGTGACTGTCTTTGGGGATTAATGTGCTGGACCATCCCCAAAGCCAAGCTCTGCCAAATGCTCATGTGGAAATTGGAAGGATGGAGAATTTGCAGGGGAAAAAATAAATGTAATAAAGGTTCTATGGAGAATTATGTAGAAAGAAGGTTATGAGACCATTTTTATTTTCAGAAGTTAGGAAAGAGGAAATGAGAAGGGGGTTGGAGCTGCAGGTGTACATATGTGTACACATGTATGCGAGTGTGTACCCATGTGCAGACTCAGTCAGCAAAGGCTGAGAATGGAAGCTAAGAACGGAAGTGTGAGTGAAAGAGAGGGGTAGACTGCCCCACCTTTCAGAAACCACATCCTGTGTGACCCCAGCACCCTGTCAAGTTCAAGTGCAACCACCCGAAGCAGAGATAGGAGCTCTGTTCCTGCTTTCTCAGCAGCTGCCCCACCAGCTTCTGCCTCTAGGCTCAGCCAGTTCTGGCCAAGGAGAGGCTATTATCACAGGGAGCCGTGGGCCAGGGTTCAGAGCCACCACCCACTTGTCACAGGCTGATGTGGTTGTCAACCAGGTCCAATGGAAAGAATAGAAGTTGCCTCATTCATATCCTGCACACCAGGGCAGAGAATGTGTCTTGTTTAGAGGTGGGTCTAGAAACCTCACGCTGAGGGGTGGCCACCTGGTCCTGTAGCTTGTCACCTCACTTCATCAGGCACCAGAGTACTAAATCTGGCAGAGACACAGACACAAATCCAGGGTCCCCTCTTTTGCTTCTGGGATTTTCTCTCTCTTCCATGGGATTCCACCCTAAACCTCCAGCACAGCTTTCCCAGACCTGCCACAAGCTCTGCCCATGGCACACAGGGCTGGCATGGGCTCGTGCTGGGACTTTGCATAGCTCATTGCTTTTGAGAAATAAAGATATGGCTGCTAGCAAATGTGGGTGCTTCTTGGCAAGAAGAGGGGGGCTCTATGAAGAGGGAGCAGCATCCACAGAGGCTCCAAGGTGAGGACAAGCACAGCACACCCAGGAAAGCGTATGTCAGGCAGGAGCACTCTTGAGAGATGATGTTGGGGAGGGCAGAGGTGCCCAGCCTCAGGGGTCCCATCCAGGGGCTTAGGCTTTGCCTGAAGAGTGGTGGGAAGAGGAGCGGTGGAAAGCCACTGCAGTGGGTGTAGCTGCAGTGTCCCGTGGCTGGATTAGATGCTGTGCAGAGCGGATGGGCGTTCTCGCCTCAGTGTACAGACATGGTCATAATGGCACTATTCACATCAGCCATGAGCTGAAAACAACTCAGATGTCCATCACCAGATGAATGTGTAAACAAAGCATGGTATATTCCTACAGTGGGGTATTATTCAGCCTTAGGGAGGCACTGATACCTGCTACAGCATGGATGAGCTTGAATTAAAGGAGACAGTTGCAAAGGCCACTGATTGTTTGGTTCTATTAATATAAAAATATCCAGAATAGGTAAATCTCTAGAGATAGAAAGCAGATTGGTGGTTGCCAAGGGCTAGGGTAGGGGGCAGAGGGAAAGTGAGTAGGAACTTAATAGATATGGGGTTTCCTTTGGGGGTGATAAAAATGTTTCAGAATGAGGTAGAGGAGGTGGTTGCATAACATTGCGAATAAATGTCCTGGGTGCCACTCAACGGCTCACATTAAAATGGCTAATTTTGATGAGGGTTGGTGGTTCACACCTGTAGTTCTATCACTTTGGGAGGTTGGGAAGTGGGAGGATCACTCGAGGCCAAGAGTTCAAGACCAGCCTGGCCAGCATAGCAAGATCCTCATCTCTATTAAAAAATCCAGCAGTTATCCAGAAGTGATAGTGTGTACTTGCAGTCCCAACTACTTGGGAGGCTAAGGCAGGAAGATTGCTTCAGCCCAGGAGTTTGAGGTTACATTGAATGTGATGATACCACTGTACTGTAGCCTGGGTAACAGAGCAAGAACCTGTCTCAAAAACAAAAACAAACAAAAAATGGTTAACTCCATGTTATGTGAATTTCAACTCAAAATTTTTAAAAATGGCTGGGAAAGAAGAGGCAAGGGTGGAGACAGGGAGGCCAGTTAGGAGGCTAATATAGAAGTCTGGGAACAAAACACTGGTGGCACCGTCTGGTCTGGAACCTGAGAAATGGACCTCAAGCCAGATGTGGTGACACCTCAGCTTTTGGGGAGGCTGGGGCTGAAAGATTGTTCAAGCACAAAAGGGCCAGCCTGGGCAACATAACAAGACTCTGTCTCTAAAAAAAGTGAATAAATTTTCAAAACAACGAAATGGACCCTCACCCTCCATACACACAGGGTAGGAGGAGTTCTCTCATAGTCTCTCCAATAAAGCTTTAATGGATAACCCAAGGGCACTCTAAAACTAAGGATTTCACTCAGGGGGAAGCACATCTCCAGAAACCTATTGGAGAAGGTGGCCATGACCCACCCAAAAGGGCAGCTTAAATTTCAAGCAGTCACATCACAACTGTCAAAGTGGATGCCTGGTGCCTCCCGACCTGTGTCCTGAATCTGCCCCAGTCCCTCTGCAGGTGGTGCCCAGAGCGCTCCACAGCATTTTCCTTGGGGTTCCCAAGTTTGATCTCCTTGTGGACTGAAATAAGCTTGAGTTGGAGCAGTTGGGGAATTTAATTTTGAAACAATAGAATGCCAGAGCAGTTTCCCAGGTGCTCAGCCATTGGCAGAGAATTGGGAAGATGCTAAGCATGGTGCCCCATGTGAGGCCGCCATGTTTGCAGAAGGCACAGATGGAAACAGCTGTCTCCTGGGTCCACACATGGAGCTGTGTTCCCCACAAAGAGTTGGGGAGGCAGAAGGGCTGTGTATGTCTATGGGGGGGGGGGTGTTTGCCTTCAGATGCAGTTCAGCAGCTGTGGAGGGAGTGTCTAAAGCCAGGTCCAAGAACAAGCCATTCTGAAGCAACATCTGCTGACTCTGTTTTCTCTCCCGAGGCCCAAGCAGTTCATTGTTCACTGCGCTCACCGAGGCCTCTTCCCAAATTGGCTTCAGGTTTCAGTGAAGGCCATTGTGTTTGGTTTAAGACCTGGAGACTTCCCCTGCAATCCCTTCAAGTTGGGACATCTGGGAGTCATTTGCTCCATGCTTTGCTTCAGAGTCAGGATCCGCCCAGCCAGCCTTCTGTCCTCCTTAGATGGGCGTGTGATCTAGGAAAACGTCCTGCGGGGTTTTCACACTGATGTGTGGCAGCCTGTGAGTCAGGTTGGCGTGGTCACCGACAGAAAGCAGGACTGGGCTCCAGGCACTTCCCCTCTGCCTGCCATTCTTGAACCTTGTTGGTGAAACGTCATCTTGGTAGATTCATTGTAAATACTGCGAACCTTGGGTTTCTGTGGAATTTTTTTTAAACTTATCCACAGAGAGTACAAATGTTTTCTGTGTTTGCTGTTACGGCAGTAGCTTATAATGACAGAAATTGATTCTGAGTTCGGCCCACTGGAAGTCTGAGTCAGGATGTGGGGAGGGCTTGCTGTCTCTGAAGGCTGTAGATGGGGAGGGATGTCTGTCCCTGCCTCTTCCCACAGGCCCCTGGCATTCCTTGGCTTGTGGCAGCATCACCCCAGTCTCTGCCTTCATCTTCATGTGCCCACCTTCTCTGTGTCACCCCCCTTCTCTCTGTTGAACTTCCCTCTTCCTTTCCCTTGTAAGGACACTTAGCATTGGATTAAGGGCCCACGCACATAATGCAGGGTGGTCTTCTCATCTCAAGATCCTTAACTTAATTACAACTGCAAAGACTCTTTTCCTAAATAATTTAGTATTCACAGGACCCAGAGATTTGATGTGCATGTGTCCTCTGGGGAGGAAGGGGTTACCATTCAACCTGTTTCAGTGAACCTGGAAAGTTACTCAACTACCATCCCTGTGGGGTCTGCAGCCCTGGCCTGGTCTGAGGTTTTAATTTAACACTCACAAGCATTGGAGGGTCCCCAATGCCTGAGATGCCACCAGACCCCAGAATGAGAAGGATCACAGGGCAGTGATCAAAATGAGAAGTCTACACCTGGCATTGTCATGAGTCCTGAGAAATTTGGGGCAGATGGTGCAGGCCCTTTGGGACTGACTGCATTTCCCAGGTGAAGGGACTGGCGTGTGACCTCCAGAGCTCCACGGGCTCCCAAGTTCTCTCCCTTTCTCGGTTAGTCCTTAATATTTGTAAATGCTGCATGTGATGTCAGCTGGGGGTGGGATGCTGAGCACCATGTGGCTGGATGGGAAGGGCCCCGGGGTGATGGGGAAGCAGGTTCTGCTCTTGCCACTCAACAGCTGGGTAAGTCTCACAACTCCCTTGAGTCTCTCTGTTTTCCTTTACATGCATTAAAAATATACACGTAAATCCAAGACCTGGGCTGCCAGACTCCTAGAGTCTCTTTGGCTCTAAGGATCTGAGTTCTGTAATTCTCATGTCTTCTAAGGCGTTAGAGCCTGCAGTTCATTCTCCTGGAGGCATTTTCTACTGACACATAACGCTCAGCATAGAGCAAACACTCGAATTGTGGCTTGATTTATCATCTCTTGCTTTCAGTTTTGTTTTTGATGGCAAGACTGTTTTTTAGGGAGAACTTGCTATAAATGGCACATGTTTAAATGCTTCTGCTAATTAACCTATAAATCCAGGAGTGTTCTGCAGATATTTACAACCAGGCTCCTAATTAAGAAGTCCAGGGACACATTAGTGTGAGATACTCGAGTTTGCTGTCTCTGTCCCTTCTTGGAACTCTCCTCTGAAGCAACCAAGCCCCTTCCTTCTCACCTCCCCGACCCCTCCCTTCTACTTAAGCAGCCTTAAGTGGTAACAGGAAGCTTAAGAGACTTCGGGCTTAGGTCACCAACGTCAGTAAGGCAGACGT